TCCTTTCCAATTTGGATGCCTTTTATTTCTTTTTCTTGTCTGATCACTGTGGCTAGAACTTCCAGTCATATGTTAAATAAGAGTGGTGAAAGCAAACCCCCTTTACTTGTTTCTGATCTTAAGTGAAACACTTTTAGTTTTTTCCCCTTGAGTATGATGTTGGTAGTAGGTTTCTCATATATGACCTTTATTATGTTGAGGTATGCTCCCTCTTTTCCCACTTTGCTGAGGGTTTTTATCATAAATCGGTGCTGGATTTTATCCAATTCTTTTTCTGCATCTATTGATATGATCATGTGATGTATGTCCTTCCTTTTATGTGATGTATTATGTTTATTGATTTGTGAATATTGTACCATCCTTGCATCCCTGAGATAAATCTCACTTCATCATGGTGTATGATCTTTTTAATGTATTGCTGTGATGCGGACACTGGCCCACAGTGTCCATGTCATTATGGATGAAATGAGACATTCACATGGACTACCAAGTCCGATGAAGGAAAAGGGACAGCATGGCTTTCCTCTCAAAGGGAGCAAAAGCCTCGGCCTCTGCTATGACAGGCCTTTATTTCTATCTCAGCACATTACATGACAGTCCTCATTTACTATGCACAGGTTCGCTTTAGGTGGTTACCTTTTACAGAAAACAAAGGAGTCAACACTGCTAATCACATCACAAAAGAGGGATATTTGCAAATGAAAAGGCAAAAGTGGTTGAATGGGTTACACTCATCCTTGAAAGGTTTAGCATGGATTTTAGGAAGTTACTTTGCAGTAAATGTCCTCAATTCAGGGTAAGGGAGTTTTTTAGCAAGAGCAAGGCTCAACATGGCCTAGGCACATTGCAGGCCTGATTCCCATTGGGAGAACCTATCCGTGGGCGTGGGTTCTGTGCATCTCCGAGTGGGAGCTGGGCCCACACCACACAGAACGGTCTCCTACATTGCTGGATTGCTAATTTTTTTTTTGAGGACTTCAGTATCTATGTTCATCAGATATATTGGTCTGTAATTTTCTTTCTTTGTTGTGTCTTTACCTGGTTTTGGGAGTCTTCCCTCTTCTTGAATTATTTGGAATAGTTTGAGAAGGATAGGAGTTAGTTCTTTGAATGTTTGGTAAAATTGTCCTGTGAAGCCATCCAGTCCAGGGCTTTGTGTGCCTGGACTTTTTTTAATAGGGCTTTAATTTCACTAATTGTTATTGGTCTATTCAGGCTTTATGTTTCTTCTTAATTCAGTTTTGATAGATTGTATGATACTAGAAATTTATCCATTTCACCCAGGTTGTCCAGTTTCTTGTGATAGAATTGTTCATAGTAATTTCTTACAATCCTTTGTATTTCACTGGTATCAGTTGTTACTTGTCCTCTTTCATTTCTGATCTTATGTATTTGGGTCCTTTCTATTTTTTCTTGATGAGTCTGGTTAAAGGTTTGTCAATTTTTTTTTTTTATGTTTTCAAAGGACCAGCTCTTGGATTCATTGATCACTTGAATTGTTCTTTTAGTCTCTATGTCATTTAATTCTGCTCTGATCTTGGTTATTTCCTTCCTTCTACTTGCTCTGGGTTTTGTTTGTTATTCTTCTAGTTCTTTTAGATGTAGTGTTAGGTTGTTTATTTGAAAAATTTCTATCTTTTTTAGGTATACCTTTATTGCTATGAACTTCCCTCTCAGGACTGCCTTCACTGTGTACCATAGGTTTTGGGTTGTTGTGTGTTCATTTTCATTTGTTTCCAGATACTTTTTAATTTCTTTCTTGATCTCATTGTTAACCTATTCATTATTTAATAACTTGTTATTCAGTCTCCATGCATTTGAATGTTTTTGAGTTTTTTCCTTGGGGTTGGTTTCTAGTTTCAAGCCATTGTGATCTGAGAAGATACTTGACATGATTTCAATTTTCTTGAATTTGTTGAAGCTTGCTTAATGTCCTACCATGTGGTCTTTGAAAATGTTCCAAGTGCATTCAAAAAGAAATGCATAGCATCAGCCACATCTTTATCTCCATGCACAGTATATGTATGTACTTCACATTGCCTTATTCATTTAACAAATTTGTTTAGTCTGAAGAGAACATTGCTGGGAGACTCACCAGCATCAAACCCCTCTCTCAGATTGGCCACCCAGTGACCTACCTAAATTAACCAGTACAATCCCCAAGTTACTGTTTTGGGACTGAGTACTCGCCCACATATAAACCCACCAATGCTTGGCATTGTCCGGCCAAAGTGATTATTTCACAAGTGGGCAGAATAAAGTCCAGGGGGGTTACTCAGTGGTTGGACCTATCTGTACTGTGCTGATGAAGCCCTGGAATGACTGCACTCATTCTGTCATCATGAGGAAGGGAAGCCTGAGAACTTCATCAACACATTGAGAAGGACATGCAGAGGGGATAATAAAAACAGAGCAGGAATACACTAATTAAACTGTGCCAGTGGATTAACCTCATCTCTAGTCTTTTCCATTGTTTAAGTTAGTTTGAACTGCACTTTCTGTTACTTGCTATTGACTAAAACAAGTGCCAGGCACTGGGGATTTAGCAGTGAACAAGGCAGTGCCTACCTTCCTGAACTTATGTTTCAGTGGGGTGAGGAAGATAAATAATTTTATCCAATACTACATGTTATGAGAGATTAGGTAGTCAGGGAGGCCTCTCTGGGGAGGTGACACAAGACTTATGACCAAAAGGGTCAGAAAAAGCCAGCCCTGGAATGATCTACAGGAGATGGTAGCAGGCAGAGGGAACAGCCTATGCAAAACTGTGAGATAGGAGTGAAGATGGGAGATTTGGGAAATAGAAAGATCCCATAGGTTGGCAGATGTTGAGCAAGGGGGAAGGGAATGAAATAAAGGTAAGTGGCCTTGCTTATAGGCTGTGTATGGAGTCTGGATCTTACCCTGAGTAAGACTGGAAGCTATTTGGAGGATTTTGAGCAGATGTATGGCATACCTGATTTAAATTTTGTTTAGCTATTTATAATTGTTTTACTTTGTATCATATTGGGGTGACATTGGTTAATAATATAGGTTTCAGGTGTATGATCTGTAATATATCATCTGGGTATTGTATTGTGTGTTCACCATCCCAAGTCAAGTCTCCTTCCATCACCATTTATATCCCCTTTATCTTCTTCTACCTCTCCCCACCTCCCTTTTCCTCTGGTAATCTCGGTACTGTTGTTTGTGTCTGAGTTGTTTGTTGTAGTTTTACTTAATCGCTTCATCTTTTTCATCCAGCCCTGCAAGCCCTCTCCCCTCTGACAGTCTGTTCTCTGAGTCTGTTTCTATTTGTTAGTTTTTTTTGTTGTTGTTGTTCATTATGATCTAATATTTTAAAAGGCATCATCAAGCTTCTTCCTAGTAAAATGACTATGGGAACAAGAGCAGCAGGGAGCAGTTAAATGCATCAAGTGAGGAGTGAAGCTGATCTAGACCAAGGTAGTGGCAGTGAATGTGACAAGAAATTGGACAGACACAGAATGTAATTTCTAATATTCATTCCCTCAGGGTGGCTGGATACTCCTTTGGAGGGACGCATCGACTGAGTCACCAGGGTATGTGCAATTGTTCTGCACCAAAATCCTGTTTTCTAAAGGGTTAACCTAAATACACCTTTAACTGGCAAAACAGCAGGGTGTATGCAAAATGAAGTGGGAAGATGTAAGCAGTGAGAGGGAAAGTATTTGGGGGCAGGGGAATTACTCTATTAAAAAAGTAGATATGCCTAGGAAACCATTTCCGGTTTGCTCCATTACTTCCTTTACTTTGGGAAACCAGATTGACTTAAACTGTGTTAGGTTTTCCCTCTCTCAAAAGACCACTGCAGTGAGGATTCCAAATAAGGGGAAGGCATCACAGGGGCAGCATGGTCATTTCTTGGTGTGACTAAGCTATTTATTTCTAAGTGGACTGTTCCCTGTACTACAGTTTTCATTTAATGAAATTTATTAACAGTGAAGCAGAGTGAATACAGATGGTCAGGGATCCAGTAGGGTCACCTGATTTTAAACTGAACCTTCAATATAGCATTATACAGGATTTTCCCTTTGCCCAATAAAGTACCTGCTATTTAATGCCTGCTTTATAAAAATATCTTCAAGTCCAGCATTAAAAACTTATATACACAATTCTTTTTAAAAAGATTTCATTTTAGAGGGGGAGGGAGAAAGAGATGGAAACATCTGTGTGTGGTTGCCTCTTGAGCACCCCCTTCTGGGGACCTGGCCCACAACCCAGGCATGTGCCCTGACTGGGAAACTGGTGACCATTCACAAGCCGGTTCACAAGCCGGTGCTCAATCCATTGAGCCACACCAGCCAGGGTACATACATACACAATTCTTGATCTCTAGCAGCAGTTCTCAACTTGGCAGTATCAGATCACAGCCTGTTACAAATATGTATTCCTGGTCCCTGCCCCCAGAGGTTATGGCTCAGTAGGTCTGGGCAGTAAATCCTGTGAAGTTGATTCTAAATTTCTGCAATATAATTACCCATATTAAGTTCATGGACATTTTATAACCTACTTTTAACATAAATACAATTGTATATAATCTGTATATTTTGATACTAAGATATCTCAAAAATTTTTCGAAGTGTATAGGATTTATTAATAAGAACTAGCTGGATGCCTCAGAAGTTCAGGAAGGAACTGGAATAAGTACAGTCAACAGATGGCTAGAAGACAGAGGACAAGAGCACTGGCATGAAGGGTGGCATGCTGGATATCACCAGGAACTGACTAGTATTTGAAGCCCATTCACTCCTAAATGAATTTTCTTAAAATACCACAGGACAGGGAGCTGCTTTCTTTCCCCCACCGCCACAGAAATTCAGTTGGGCCAACTGCAGATGGAGCCTCATCAGCCCTTCCTAAGTACTCCTCACAGCCCCCCAACAGTTTGAGCATCTCTGGTCTACAATTACTGGATAAAAGCTTACTCTTGACAGTTCTGTACATATTCTATACAGTATAAACAGAGAGGCAAACAAATGTTAAAAAACAAAGAGTTTATTTAATAGAGTTGTTATTAAATCAGGACACATCGAAGTGGCATTACAGATACCCTTTTAATGACAACAGATAGTAAATTTATACAGATTATGAGCTAGAACATAATGAATATAAAGTCCACTCAGATAATGGTTAAAAAGCATCACTAACGAAAGAAAATCTGATTCAAGTGGCTAAAGAATTCAAGTCCCCCATTTCGATAATTACACACAGCTTTCATCATAGCACATCTAAAGCCTTCCCCTAGTCATGGTACTATTCAAGACTACAGCATATTCAATGACTCCAGTGATTTAAAGATTCACACTTTTAAGCATTGATGTCAAGTGACATCAGGTAAAAAGGTTCACTAAGCAAAACTCAAGAATATGTGAATGTTCTTTGCAAACTGTAAGGTGCTGTGCAGATGTTGTTAGCTATTGCTATTATTACTGTTCAGTGACATTTCACTGAACCTGAGAAAAAGGAAGACTAGTTTGTGTAACTGACAGATATGACTTGTAGAACATCTTAAAAGAAATGCAGATATTACGTTCAAGTACACGTAGCAAGAAAAACAGGCAAGGAAACCATGGATAGGAGTGATGGTAAGTTGAAGAATTCTAGATTATTTTAATAAATATATAAGGGATTAAGCTATTCATATATTACATGTAATATTTATCATTAGGTTCCCAAAGTCCCTGAAAATAACTTATTTTCTCAGGGGACCCTTTCCTCCTGCAAAAAAAGAAATAAAAAACTTGTGAAGTTATTAATATGCTGCTTCAATTCAGCTCTTACAAAATGAGTCAAGTGTGATTTAATAAAATTGTACTACTCTGGTAGAGAATGCAGAGTGCCTGACAGCAGAGAAATCTGCTGCTGACCTAAGACAAGTGACAAGTTGGTACCATAGCCGAACGATTTATGAAAGGGTCCTAAGAGCAGTCTCCAACTTCACTTAAGCATGAAACAATAAACATGAACTTGTCTAGGAACAAGAAATACACACTACATACAGTTAAAACAGGATTTCAATGTTATGTTTCACCTTCAGCTTTCATCTTTCCTTGGACACACCTTATTTAATTGTTTTTACCGGTCTCCTTGGGTAGTCTACAGGTATACATAAAATTTATGTGAAAATGGAAAATGAATACCAAAAAAGTCAATCAGTTGCCTCTTTTGGCAAAGCTGATGAGATTTTTATTGATAAAAATAGTCTAATTATTACAAAGTATTTCAGTCAGATTCCCAGGAAACACAGGGTTGTTGTTGTTTTTAAGTTAATGGTTTAAATTTCTTCAGTAAGAACTCAAAACTGAACTTTGCTGCTACATGTAAAATGGTATCCACTTGAAGAACTGATGACATCAGATGCATTCTACAGAAGACTTCAGTTTTCAGCACAATGGGAAAGATTATATTCTGGGGGGCAAACTGGGAGGTACAGCAAGGAAGGCAATATGTTACAGTAAATGGGGTTAAATCAGTAGTTTGTGCTGACATTTTAAGTTACACTCCCTTCTTGTGGTTATTCTTACAATCAGTTTTCAAACAACAGCAAACATATCCCTACCTTAAAACATGTATGAGGGCTCAATCATAGCTTTTCTTTCTATACATCCTGAAGTATGTACATGGTGCACGAGAAAACTAGTGAAAAATAAATCTGTATGTCAAATACCATGTTATTTCAACAGGAGCAAACTAACGAGTTTACAGTTGAAACCCCAGGAAAAAAATGAACTGGTTTGAAAACAAATCTATTGTAATAATCCTAAATATCAACCCTAGCATCTAATTCTAAATTTGAAACACATGGTACTTTTTTCAAGAGGAAATTACAACTGCTTTTGCATGAATCCCTGGTTTAAATACTTGCAGAAAAATAGTCTTATCATTATCTACTTAGCAAATGTTGAAAATCAAACAAAATAATCCAACATTGGACATTAATATTTTACAAGTAGCATAACATTGCAAAAGTATAAGAAAAACTTTGGCATTATAGAAAAAGAAATTAGGTAGATAACAATTCTAAGTACAACAAGGCATCTAAACAGGGGACTATATAGAAATCTACTACACAGTATCCCACATTTAATAATTTCATTATTAAAGTTGTACAATTTTATACTAAAACTGTAGTCTTTTTTTTTAGGAAAACACTTTACATTTAGAATAACTGCTTAAAGACATTTTAAACTAGAGACATTTAACTAAACAAGAATCCAATCCATCCAATTGCACAACATCAAAACTAGGAGTGAACAAATTGGTAATTGCAAACAGGAATTAGTAATAACAGGAAATTTGAAAAATAAGATACCTCCTTAAAAGAATAAAGGTAGAGTGTGTGTGTGTGTGTGTGTGTGTGTGCGCGCGCGCACGCGCGCGTGCGCGTTTTTAAGAAAATGGCCACTGATCACTCCTGTGGAAAAAAAAATGCAAATAGCTGTCAGGAAAAGTTGGCAGGATTTAAACTTAATCCAAATGTTCAGTGAATACTGAATTACCATTAAGAAATGCACACAGGTTATAAACCAAAATACTGGTTTTCTCCAGGTGGCAAAAATATAGGGAATTTAAATTTTCTTCTTTTTTAAATATGCATTTTTCCAGGTGTGTTTTTAGATTGCATACAAATGGAATTTGTAACCAAGTGGTTAGAAAGAACAGACTAAAGATACTAAAATAAAAACACAAGGTCTTTTTCTATCATAAAAGGCCTTAAGAATTATCTAATTATACATACCTGGGAAATAACAGGTCTGATTAAAAATACTAGACTAGAAATACTAAGAATACTTCCTGGATGATAAAAACAATCTATTTTCAAGATTGTTCACACTACCTAAGTACGCAAAAATAAACATTTAAAATGTAAATCCCTATCATATGCATTATAAAAACAGTAAGAAAAACAAATTTAAAGGGAATTTACACAAACCTGGTAATTAAAGCATAACTTTATTATTGAACAAGAGCAAAGTAGATTATATTAAAGAGTTGGTATTAAAGCATAAGCTGGCTTTCAAGGGGGCTTTAGGGAGCAGGCCATGGTCTAGGAAGCTAGCTCTACTTTGCTATTGAGATCCTTCAATTAAGCAGTTCATGTAAAACAGGTGGAATTCAACCTAGTTTCACCATGAAATAATGTAATGAAAGATTCCTTCTGACTAGGGATTACATTTTATTTGAGATTTTTCAGTGACATTCAGAATAATTCCAGCATCCATAATTTAAACAATTTTCCATAGGAATTTACAACCCAAAATCCAATGACCTGGTAGTTTCATAATAGTTAGGGAAAGTATTTCAGCAAAAAATAAAGTTTACATCTGTCTCACTGTGTACGTATTAATAGAGCCAGAAAAGTAAAACTCAAAACCAACTAAACAACAAAATGCTACAGAATATTTTTGTTGTAAAATAATCAAATTCTTTACAGAATAATGTGTAATTAAACATACTTATTTGTAACCAATTTAATTTTTCCAAATTCTTATTTGCAAATGAGAGGCTCATACAGTTAAAATCAAGGATACAAACCACTGTATTAGAAGGATTAAAGTTTACATTAGTCAAATGTGACTCCTTAAGATAAAGATTTTAACATGTTCTTTCAACTTTATGGAAATCATCAGTATCCCAGAAACATTTGCCATTTTAAAATATCAATGTAATGCTATGAAAAGATGATGTTCACTTTAATCCTGTTTGCCTTCACGCCACTGTCGTGAACCTTCATTCCAGGCCACATAGACAAAGAGAGCCAGCACCACGTGGACAGCAACCACTGCAACAATAGCAGCATAAAAATAGCTATCCCTATTGGACATCCCAAAGGCGCCTATAAAGACAAAAATATTTTCATTTTATTCCAAAGTATATCAAAGTACAAAAAGCAAAGCGTACTAATTTTTATTAGCTATATATTTATTCAATTAGTCAGGGAATTAAAAAGTAACACTTTGGGTGATGATAAAGCAAATATTCATTTAAAGATTTGAATACATTCCTTCTATATATGAAAAAGTTTATTTTGAATGTGAGCTGTTAAGTATCATTTTGTGGCACATTCTAAGAAATGTGCCACGAAAAAAAGGGGACTTTATTTCCTCTTCCTTCCAATGTCTGCCACCAAACTCACGCTCCCCCAAATCCTGCTCCCATGTCAATTAACTCTTGCTCCCAAAGGGATATTAAAAGGATCCACAAACTATTTCACAGAAAACTACAAACAAATACAATGTCAAGCTGAGGTGACTACAAGTGATAAAAACATTCATTTTGTGAAGTAGAACTCATTGTGAGCAACATTATATTTGAAATACAAAACAGATGAAAGAAGCAAACTTAAGAATACCCTGTTTACATCTATAGAGACATCCTAAAAGCATAGTACATGAATATAGTAATATGTCTATAAAAATAGGATTACCTTCAAACACATAAGATTTAGTGGTGAAATATAACCCAATAGGTACAGTGATCATTAAAGCTGTGAAGAACAGGAGAGTCTTCAGGGTAGATGCTAATGAACTTTCATTTCTGGAATAAGGTAAACAAAGAGAAAATCAGAACCTGCATAACACTTCTAATCCTTCTTGTGTCTATAAACACTATATATACCCACAGAGAAGATTCTGAAAACCTTGCTCCTGCCTTGGAAGCAGTGGCCAGAGGAAGAAGAGCAGAGTCAGGGACTCAAAATTGAAAGATCTTGGAGACCCAGCTGCAGGCGACCTCCAAGAGACTGTCATTCATACCCAGTGTGAGAAAAAGTATCAAAGTGTTAAAGTAGTTTGTAATCTCCAAAGTGCTATGCAAATGTACACTGTAAGTACAGAATTTACAATGGAGGTAGCAAGAGAGAAGATACACAGAAGACAACTGATGGCTAGATGAATACATCACAAACAAGATATCAGAATCTCCAAAGAAAAAGCAGAATAGAACAATCTGGATGCAGCTGAAGGAAATTTACTCAATTTGTTTTTAATTAAATAGCTATAGTACAATTTAGATGGCCTTTGAGTAACATGGGTGCATAAAAAGTTTGATGTCAAAAACTTTCTCTTCACTGAATTCTATTTGTCCACAGGCTATTTTCAAACCAAGGAAATATTCCAATGGAAAAACTTTTGTTTCAGAATACAATAAAACTACTCTGAAGAAAGTAACCAGGCTTTGAAAATTTTATAAAGAAAAGTAAGTCCAATAAACAGCTACTTAAAACATTAACAGGAAGCCAGCCCCTTGCTTGGCCCTGGTGCTGCTTGCTCCCTGGCCTAGGCTGTCTTTACCACCTGTGTGGAGGGCGTGGAGGGCGTGGAGGGCCTGGAGGGCGTGGAGGGCGTGGAAGTGAGGCTCCTTGAACTGACTCTGCCCTGACTGCCTTCCAGGGTATCTCCCCAAGCCTGGCTTTGCGTGTGGCTCCCTGTCCTCTCTCTTGGCTTCCTGCCTGTCTTCCTGCAGCAGCCAAGTGCTCAGAAGGAAGATGGCGGCGAGGTAGGAGGGAGCAGATTCCACTTCCCTGTACACACAGGAGAAAAACCTAGCTGATCTGCGGCGGAACAGAGCAAACAATCAACAGTACCCCAACATATATGAAAATAAGAGACCAGAAACTGTAGCACACAGCAAAAAAACAGATGGTAACGAGAGTGTTTCAGGACAACAAGGTCCCTGGGACCAGTGCGGGCAGCTGCAGCCTCAGGCCCAGCACCCGCCGGGTCTGACACAGGGTTCTTGGGAGAGAGCTGGGTCAACTGCTCCCTCTCTGGCCAAACAAGGTTTGAGCAGCACTGGAAGTGACCTGGATGCTTGAAGTCGCAGAAAGGGGAATAAGGACTAAGTGGCAAACACACAGGGGCTGTGAGCACCCATGGAGTCTGTGCACACTGGCTTGGGAGAGTTGAGAGTCACAGAGTGGCAGGTCCTGACCCCGATAGTCACCAATATGATTGGAGACTTGGGCTGCGTGAGAGGTCAAGCTGCTGTACGGAGTGGCAGGCTTGAATAGGAGGAATTTCTCAAAAAGAAAAAGTGAAAAAAAAGAGACACTATTTGGGGAATTCCCCTGCAGAAATTGCTACTGCCACCTCCCCACTCAGCTTGCTAGCGCTTCCAAAGGGACTTTGGAGGCCCTGCACACCCCATAGCACTGGGAAGGGTGCACACTCCGACCTGTCGGGCCAGAGACAGCCTGGCCAAGCACGCACACCCAAAACCCAGGGAGAGTGCTCTCGGCAGAAGGTCCCAGCCAACAGCGGTAACCCCGGGGGAAAGTGTGCTCTGAGGAAGGCCTAGATCCCCACACACAGCACCCCATGGAGAGGCACCAAGCTACATCTGGGGAGAGTGCTTGAGCACCAAGCTCACTGAGTGCTGATCGGGAAGGGAGAAAAACCCCTCAGCCCCCCGCAGCTAGCAAGACCAAAAAACTGGTGTGGCCAGTTTGAAACCACCAAGAGGCTTTTTTTTAAGTTATTTTTTTACTTTTTAATTTTTATTATTTTTTATCTCTCAATCCCTTTTCCCTCTCTCTCCTTCTTTCTTGTGTTATTCCTTCTTCCTTTCTTTCTTTCCAATTTTATCTCTTCTTCCTTCATTCTTCTGCTTTTTTTTTTAATACCCACAAATGAGACAAAAAAACATTGAACTGTGAAAACACCAGACTTGGGCCGAAAGAGGGGTCATCCCAACAGCTGACACAGTGAGACAAATTTTACTTTGCTACTACAGAGAACCTGCAAGTTACTGCATATTTGTATTATTATTTTTTTCATTATTCTTATATCTTTTATTTTAATAGTATTTTTGTATTCCTCTTCTTTCTGTTTAGTCTTCTTTGCTTGGCTGCTTATATGATTTAACAGGTGTCCCGTTCTCTTTCATAGTGTATTGCTAATTTACTGTCCTTCACTTCACTTGTTTTCCATTAGCACACTACTCAAGGTCCTACACTCCCTATACTTGTTATCCAGATCACATAGATTCTGTCATATGATTGTTGCTCTAATATTACTGTAAATAATAGCTGTTCCATACTATTGTAAATACTTCACAACACCCCTCCCAGATCTCAGTTCACTTCATGGTTTCCTGAACTCTATTACTGTAGTGGTTAACTCTATTTGATTCTATTTTTTTAACAATTTTTAATTTTTAAATTTTTATTGTTTTTATTCTCTTTTGATTTCTTTTTCCTCTTTCCTGATTTCTTGTTTTATTCCTCCTTCATGTCCTCCAATTTTATCTCTTCTTCCTTCCTTCGTCTGCCTTTTCTATTTTTACTTTTTTAAATTTTTTCTAAATACCTACAAGTGAGACAAAATCCTGGATCTGTGAAAAGACCAAAGTTGAACCCAAAGAAGGGGTATCACAACAGCTGGGACAGTGAGATAAATCTCACTATGCTATTACAGAGAACCTGCAAGTTATTGCATATTTGTATTATTATTTTTCCAGTGTTCCTACATCTTTTTAAATAGTATTTTTGTATCCCTCTTCTTTTTGTATTGTCTGCTTTGCTAGGCTGGATATATTGTATGACCTGACAGCTTTCCCCTGATATCTCTTTCCACACTGTATTGCTAATCTACTGTCCTTTAACTCACCTGTGTCCCATTAGCACACTACTCGAGGTTCTGTACTCCCCATTCTTGTTACCTAGATCTCATAGATTCTGTCATATGATTGTTGCCATAATATTATTGTAAATAACTGCTGTTCCATGCAATTGTAATTACTTCACAACACCGCGCCCCCCACCCCCAGATCTTAGCCCATTTCAAAGTTTCCTGAACTCTATTACTGTAGTGGTTAGCTTTATTCTCTCACACACTACACCTATTTACTATCCTTTACTCTCACCTTACCTCAGAATCTGACCTCCCACAACTTCCCTGCTTTCTAGACCCAACTCACAAACCTCACCTCCCCAACAAGAGTCTTATCTTCTTTCCACCCTTTCTAAAAAGTAGATAATTGGGTGGAATATCATGGTTAATACTATACATAGCCAAAGGATTTCCTATCTCTTCTCTACCGGCTGCTACTGTAAATATCATAGAATACTCTCTTGCTGTCTTAAACCATATTGCCTTCGCTCTCCAACTGATCACAAAAAATAGGTGGAAGCTGGGAACATCAGGATACCCACTGGAAGAGGAAACCCAACAATAAAGGAACCATCAACAGAGAATAACAGAAAGTGAAGGAGGGAGTGGAAGCCACACTAACCTCAATCCAGGACCTATCTGGAAATACAACTAAACAGTGGAGAAATTACACAGAACAAACAACAGAACAAGAGCAAGAGAGAATCCTCAAAATCTTGTAAACATGGAAGAAACAACTTCAACAAAACCTGCCTTCACCAGCACAACAAAATACAAGAGGTGGTCATGGACAGAGTGACCTGAAGTTAAGCACCTGATGGGAAGGACCCACCAAAGAAAGACCCAACAACAATCAAAACCCCAAAACAAACACAGAGCTAACTAAAAGGACAGCCCAAGACCAGTGAGCTCGGGAGATCAAGGAGACTGCACCACTGGATCTCACAGGTATTCTACCACACAAGCTCATACCATAAACCCAGGGAGCCAGAACAGATCAATTTAAGAAGATGAGGCTAACAAGATGAGTCTCACAAACAATGGGAAGACAAAGAAACAATTCCCAAAGGAAAGGAGGAAGCCTCAGAAAGAATGTTAAACGAAATTGAGGCAACTCAACTATAAGATACTGAGTTCAAAGCAATGGTTATTAGGAAGCTCAATGAGCTCACAGTGAATTACCAGAAACTACAATGAGCTCACTGCAAACTATATCAACATGAAAAAGGAAATAGAAACTATCAACAAGGGCCAAGAGGAAATGGAGAATACAATTTCTGAACTGAAGAACACAGTAGAAGGAATCACAAGCAGGATCAATGAAGAAGAAGATTGAATCATGAGCTGGAGGATGAAGTAGAAAAAAAACACCCAGGAAGAGCAAGAAGACAAAAAGAGGCTCAGAAAGAATGAAAAGGGATTAAGAAAAATGCAAGGCAATATGAAATGTAATGATATCTGTGTAAAAGGGATACCAGAAGGAGAAGAAGAGCAAGGGATAGAAAACCTATTTTAAAAAGCAATGATGGAAACCTTCCTTAATTTGATGACAGAAAAAGTTGGACAAATCCAGGAAACACAGAGTCCAAATCAAAAGGTACCCAAAGAGGTCCACTTCCAGACACATCATAATTAAAATGGCAAAATTCAAGGACAAAGAGAGAATTTTAAAGGCAGCAAGTGAGAAACAGGAAGTAACATACAAGGGAACCCTGATAAGGTTACCAGCTGACTTCTCAATGGAGACACTCCAAGCCAGAAGAGAATGGCAAGAAATATTCCAAGTAATGAGAACCAAAGGCCTACAACCAAGGCTATGTTACCCAGCAAGACTCTCAATCAAGATAGAAGGCCAAATAAGGAGCTTCCCAGACAAAGAACTCTAAAAGAATACACCTCCACCAAACCAGCTCTGCAAGAGATACT